GAGGGAAGCCGGCTATGGCGCGGTCTCACCGTACCTCAGTCAGTGGACTCGACCAAACTGGAAGCAGTGACGGACGGACTGCCCGTGTCCCGCGTGGGTGCCATGATACGGGCCGTGGGCACCACACCTGGCACGTACACATCATGAGGCCATATGAGGTAATGGAGGTACAGCTCCACAGATTCTTAATCTCGGAAATATATGGAGGCGAGATTCCCCAAGTCGTTCGTTTAAGTGATGATTATGATTGATACGCATAAGTACCAGTTCGGGGGCACGCGGTAGCATAGTTGGTTGAGGCACTATGCTACAAGTCCTGATGAAGTGCATTTTTCACTTTACTTAACCCTTCCAGCCGCACTATGGCCCTGGGGTCTACTCAGCCTCTAACAGAAATGAGTACTAGGAGTTAATTAAATAATTTTCCTTGGGAGTAAAGCGCGGCCGGCGCGTAAGGCTGACAACCTCACCGCCATCTGTGAGCCGACTGTCTAGAAAATGTGGGAGCCTCGACGCCTCACAACCCTATGGGCCTCCACGGCCTGATACAGGGATAGCTTTACTTTATTTATATTATACAGAAATGGCCTCTCACCAGGGCACTAGGTGGAGGCGAGACATCGGCTTCAAGTTCCGGCCGACACTTCCTGGATAAGTGTGTGCACCCCCAAAACAGTCTGCGCACGATGACAGAAACAGAAGTCTCTACCCCCGGCCTGGGGTCGAACTCCGGTTCTCTAGACATCTAGCCCATAGCCTGGTTACTATATTCACTGAGCTACAACTGCCTTGTGGTGTCTGGGATTCGTAACTCGGCTCCATCTCCGCTCTTCTTCGTTGTAGGCAGACAGGAGCTGGGACCCATCCAGGCTCTTAATGTGCTGGGTCTTTTGGGTCTGTTTCCTCTGTGGGTAAAGAGGGCTGGGCGAGAAGCTAAGCAGTTAGCTCCAAAATGTGAAGGTTAAGAATCTGTGGAGCTATACCGCCATTCCCTCATACGTCTTCATGGCGGGGGGCAAGTGAGGGAACTGTGTACCCGTCAGAACGCGTTGCTATGCGACCGGAGACTCCAGCACACTCACACGCCAGCCACTGGCCTCTGCCAGGCTATACATCTGTGACATTGCATTGTCTCCCCCCTACGCCCGGTTATATCCTAACCACAGTTAATTATGGTAAACTGAACACGATCTGGATTCAGTTGAGTGGCTGTGGTTTCTGGGGGCACGACTATCTAACGGGCTAGCTGTATCAAGTTCAATGTTCCCAAATCAACGTTTAGGTCATAGGCTATCAAACTGTGGCCCCGTACCCCTTGGGGTACGCACATTGTTTAGCGAACAGAAAGTGAATAATTGTGAGGCAGTGTTTTTTTTTTTGCCTTCTGGGGGCGCGCAGTAGCGTAGTTCGTTGAGGCACTGTGCTACAAGCCGGAAGGTCGCGGTTCGATTCCAGATGAGGTCGGTATATCGACTGGCTATGAAATTGACGACTGAGGGGTCGTAGTTCGAGTCCCAGTAGGGCTAAGAATTTTCTCCACGTCGTCCAGACTGGCCCTGGGGTCCACCCAACCTCCTATCCAATGGGAACCAGGGGCTCTTTCCCCGGGGTAAAGCGGCCGGGGCGTGAAGCTGACCACTTCCAGATAGTACCGAGGTCAAGAAAATATGGATCTATACATCCAATCCCCATTACGCCTTCATGGCGTAGTGATTAGTTAGTTAAGCACAGGGCTAAATTTTCCCTTACCTAATCCTTCCAGCGACACCATGGCCCTAGGTTCGACTCTGCCTCTAACATAAATGAACCATAGTGCTATTGGAAGGATTAGGCCAACTGAGAAATGCAATGACAACATCGGGATTTGAACCCGCGACCTTCCGACTTGTAGCATAGTGCCTTAATGAGCTACGCTACCGCGTACCCCTCGCCCAGGTTAGGTCCAGGCGAATATTTCTATTGGTCATCTTAAATACTCCGTTTCTTCTCTTCTCCTTGAGAACATAAAGTTGAGTCATTTGTCTAACGCCACTGCCAATACGATGATTTGTGAGTAACGGATATGGAAGAGGTCGTGGCCAACTCTGAGGTACCGTCCCGAAATGTTCCTGTAGATAACGAGGAGAGTCACGAAGAAGCTCGGTGCCCTGGTCTAGGTTACAACCCGGCAGCTCTGGAATACAAATCATAGGCCTGAGGCATCTTGCTCGGTCGTGAGAAGCCAGCAGTTGCTCACCCAGTCAAGAAATCCCCATCTTTGTGCGGAAACCGAAAGTGCATTATACTTTTCACACGAGCTATCATCCCATCCTATTTCTTTACGATTCATTTTAATATTAGCCTTAAACGCACGTCTATGTCTTCTTAGTTTGAAACATACAAAAATGTAGGCCTATTTATGTGGGTATGAATTGTATGGGTGTGAGATTATCGCTGTAAGGGAATAAACAAATTTCGGATTTAACTGGCCACCACATCTCGAGTGTCTCCTGGCCAATGGGTACCCTGGGTAAAGCGGCCGGGGGCGTGAAGCTGACCACTCTACTGCATCTAGTTTCGAGCTCATAAATTGTGGAGATATACCTCCACTCCCCCATACCTCTCCGTGGCGTGATGCTTAAGTCATGAAGCACAGGGAGAGGCTTACATATCGCTTTCCGACATCGCGATTACGCGTCCACTTTATGTATTCAGAGGCGCTGAGACAGCCTCTAGTACATGACGCCGTCGGCACTTGCACCAATATGGGCAGTGCTACGGCGGGTTCCGTGTGATTGAACTGTTTCCTGGTTTTCCTCAGTCATGCCGGGTGGTGCCCCACAGCAGACCGTGACGGCTGTTCAGTAAATGAGCTTGCGCAGAGAAGTGAGCCGTGGCGAGGCTGCCCGCTGCTACGGCCGACTGCCCGACAACACCTGCCGTGAAAGCTCTATAGCTTACGTAACCCAACCTGTGCTAGTGACAGCCTTCTCAAATACGGCGCACCGTACAGGAGTGCACTAACAGGCGAACACACAAACAACTCGTAAGCAAGTACTTAAATAACTTTGTAAGTAAACTGGGCCGTGCTCAGCCCTTTTTTTTTTTTAAGTTCTTAGGGTGGGGTGTAACTGAGTCCACTTGGTACGTCGGCCACTATTTGTGCTACTGTACCAGCGTAGTCGGTATAGCGACTGACTGCGGGCTGGACGGCGCAGGGGTCGGACTTCGAGTGCCGGTGGGGTCAAGATTTCTCTCTTCTCCAAATTGTCCAGACCGGCTCTGGGTCCCATCCAGCCTCCTAGCCAATGGGTACCGGGGAACTTTCCCCGAGGATAAAGCGACCGGGGTGTCAAGCTGACCACTCACCTCCAGCTAGTTCCGAGATCAGGAAATGTGGATCTATACATCCTCTCCCCCATACGCCTTCATGGTGTAGCGCTTAGTTCGTTGAGCACAGGAATAACTTCATCTTTACCTGACCAGCCCCAGATGATAAATGATGATTCTGGATCAGTCGGTGGAATGAGAATTGGCAGGGGAAACCGAAGTACTTGGAGGAAACCTGTTCCAAATCCACTTTGTCCACCACAAAACCCACGTGACCTGACCTGGCCTCAACGCTGGCTTTCCATCGCAACCGCCGGGGTTCAGTCCCAGGTCAGGTATGGGCACAGATGCCGTGATATATAGTTTTGTTCAGACATTCACAAGTAGTTAAGGGGAATATACACACAGACAGTATGGTGATCTCGTAAGTCTACCTTTATTTATTCAAAATGAGGAAAGTAGGCTGAAACGAGATAAATAAATACATGCGTAAAATAATGTTCGTAAGCCTGCTGAACTCCTTTACATACAATAGGAAGCCACACATCGGAGCCCGCGTGCATAAGGCTTCCTGTTTTAACGATCTGGCATTAGGACTGCCCTTACTAATTGGATGCAAATTAACTTAGCACATTGTTCAAATTCCTTTCGGATCGGAACAGATTTCCTGTTCAGACTTTCAAACTAGGGTCTCCCAGCCTGGAGTTTATTTACGTAATATATAGCAGTTCAGTCCGTACCTCACAGCAAACTCATTACGTCTCCGCTACAAAGCCCAACCGGTTAATGCTGTTTAGGGAAACAGTCGCTGTTTATTGTGAGAACAATACGGAACACACAGATACACTGTGGGCAGAATGTTTTTTTTATTGCTAGTGGGGTGGGACTAAGTCCCTTGTACTGCACCCACTTCTGGCCTATTGTACCAGCCCCAGATGATAGGTGAGGGTGATTGTGGAGCAATTGGTGGAATGAAGATTGGCAGGGGAACCCGAAGTNTTGTCCACCACAAATCCCACTTGACCAGACCCGGGATCGAACCCGGGCCGCCGCGGTGGGAAGCCAGCAACTAATCGCTTGAGCTATGGCGCAGCCCTTTTTTAATGTTACAGTAGGTGGTACATATAGTTACCGCCGTTGTTCAAAGCAATTACGTAATTACATTACAAGGTCGCAGTAGATCTGGTTTTACAGATGGCATGTCACCAGTGTAATAACGAAGTCCATATGCTTAATTAATCAGCAAGCCATGAAGACGTAAAGGGAAGCGGATGTCTAGCTCCACGTATTCTTAACCTCGCCACGGTCTGTTTATCCGCGAGGAAGGAACCCATGGTTCCCCTGGGATACGAACCTGGAGAAGCGTCGGAACCAGTGTGGACGCTGTGGAGAAGGAAATATTTTCCCCAGCCGGGAATCGAACCCTTGGTTATCCAGTCCGTAGACTTGCCTCTGTACAGTGTTGTGGGATGTGATGTCGTGCAGTCCCGCACAAACTCACCGATGTTTCGGAGGATCGTTCTGCCTCCGTATTCAGGACGAAACGGTAAGCTGCATGTTTGGCTTATTGATCGACCCTGAATATGGTTGCGGTATACTCCTCCGCAACGTCGATGATAACCCAGAAGACATCCTGTTACATCGCGTCCAGACGCTGTCAGAACAGTTGCGGGGAGGGGGCGTGGCGCCGCCGTGACAGGAACGTAGCGGCGCCCCATCTGGTACGGAGTGGCACGGCGTGGCTTAGAAACGCCATGTCGTTTGCGCGTCTCTTCAGTCATACCGTGTTAACACAGAGAAGTCCTCGGTAAGAGCCCCGTTGAGGCCAGTAGCAATCTTGTCATCAGCTGGCGCACCCTGAACAAGGGCGTGAATCCACCGAACGTAACGCTTAGGTAAGCTTATATTTGCTGCATGTCTTCATTTGTTACATGGGGTATGGGCGTGGTGGTCTCTACTTGTGCTCTGGAGTTATCCGGTTCGATTCTCCGTCGGGACAGCCATTTTCTGATTTAGATTTTTTCGTGGATACCTCAGTCCCTCCAGAGAAATGTTATTTTACATCGAATAGGCCGCGACCACTTCCTTCTAAATCATTTCCAGTTCGTCATCCTTCCCTTGAACGTTATGTAGCGCAGACTCTGACGTCATTTTAATAACCCACCAAAAATAAGGGTTCTTAGAGGGGCGAGTAACCTACAGGGCAATTGTCTCAAAACGTTGTACACTTCACAGTAATCTTCAATTAAGTGTTTTTTTTTTATGGAAAACAGCTTCTGGCTTCCTCTAACGAAGCGTCGTGGTGGTGTAGGTAGCGCTTGTGCTTCGTAGTCGTGAGGCCCGCGTTCCGAACTTGTGGCGGAAAACGGTTCTGCTGACTAAGGCTTTTGGCGGTGTTTTTTGCAGCCCCTCCAGGCAAGCTCGGGGATACTTACTGAAAACTACAGATAAATATGTAAGCATATGCACTCGCATTGGAAAGAAAATGCAGAAAATTTAAAACATTCTCTTTGGCCAGGAACACTGTTCTGTTTGCTTTCCAGTTTGATGTATGCGAACTTCTCTGTAACTGTGAACTTTCATAGAATCTCGTTTGGCATAGCAACAGAAGATTGGCACTGGTAATGGCTTCCGAAAAGCGCGACACTAGGCTGCTGGACCGCCTGGGGGCTTGGGGGAGGGGATGTCCCGACAGTGGGACGCGCGGTCGATAGGAGTTAAACATTCACTTTATAAGAGTCAAGTTTGTGCAAGCGTAAACCAGAGACTGTCAATCAGTACATGACTTTCTGCACCTCCTTTGATCCATACAGTGGCGTCTGGAATGAAGCCTTCTTCAGCCCCAACGAAGGCGAGGCACGAGGCTGCCAGGAATTCAGGCAGAAGCCATAAGACGAAGCGGCCATCTGCTCTGGAGAGGTACACAGACCGGTCTGCGTACTACTTCAGCTCCGGGACGGGAGTGGACACAAGCAGCATGAGGGATGTTCTCAAGGAGCCAACGCCGTTCTCATTTGCCCCAGACACCGACGAGTTCAGCTGCAGAACGCTGCACAAATTGTGGAGACAGCGCTCCAGAGACGAGGAGGCCAGACACGACTTCAGCACTAGGCCGAATTACAGATCGCGCCAGAACAGGGATCTCCTCAAGAGACTGTATGTTCCGGGTGAAGAGGTTCAGGAATGCAGAGAGCCCGGTCTCCTGGACATCGATCCTCAGTACTTCAAGATACTGGAGGGGCGCCCCGTCAGAGAGAAGCTGAACATCAGGAAGTACGTGGAGGAAGTGAGGGGAACTTTGAAGGCGAGGCTCAGAGTGGGGTACCGACTGGATGAGGCGATGCACATCGAAGAGATGCTTAAGAAAGAACAGAAAAGGCTCAGAAACGCCGAAGCAATGCACAAGCTGTACGCCGATTGTTTCAGTGAGTTCCTAGAGCAGGATTATGAATCGTCAATGGAGCTCCTAAATGGTGCTCAAAAAGAGGCCGAGAAAACAGCTGATATGAGTTATCAGTTGAAAGAATTGGAAAAGGAACTGGGCGCCTTGAAGCGTGACGTGTCCACGCTGGAGGAGAAGTGGAGGAACTGCAAGATGTTTCAAAAGTTCTTGTACATGGTCAGTCCGATGGACTGGAGGAGAAAACATGATTACATTCACAGAAAAGGGCCCAGTTCTGTCTTACTGGTAAGCGAGATGCCCTCACTGTTTGGACGGTACCGCCTGTCCATCACAGAGTCTGAAGCTCCGTTAGAGTCGTTACTGGATTTGTTTCTAGAGGATATAGACAGCGGGGAAGAACCGTTCTTGTACTTTACTGAACCACGTGAGCTTACGCAGGTGTTGCAGGATATGGAGTCACAGAATTTGAATTGCTTCATGCATTCCGGGGACCTCTCAGGGCCGATCCGTGCTGCTGAGCAGGGACTGGAGCAAGTTCAGGACCAGCTGAACACGCAGTCCGGGTTTGTCATGGGTAAAATCAAAGACCTTGAGGCTGCTATATCCTGGGAAGAGGACCGAACTCAGTCGCTCAAAGACAAAGCAAGAGAGGTGTTGTACGGGTTGTACAAGGACCATATCTTGTCTGAAAGAACTCTAAAGCTACATGTGTTTGTGGAGGACGTGTACGAGACTTATGTGGCGCCACGTGACAGCAGTGTGGGTCTCCGTGATATGATGAGAGGAATTGAACTGAAGGTGGAGTCCCTGCTTCTCAAACTCGATTACCTGCCGTTTGAGATCGTTAAAGTGGCTGAGAGCAAGACTTACGAAGATGAAGCGCGTATCAGGAAGGAGGCCCAAATAGCGGAACTTAAAATAAAGTTGGTAGAGAAACTCAAGAGGAGACTCAGAAGAGCGTTGGAACCGCCTGACTACAGACACGGAAAACCGCTGAAGCCGAGATCAGAACCCCCGCCCATCAGGAAGAAGAGACCGAAGCCCGAGAAACATCTGACTGACGAAGAAAAGGATTTTTTGGATTTTTTTACTGATTATTGTTGTAATGTGGACAACGCGCGAGTGAACGCGCCCGTGGATGTGTCAGGACAACAGAACGCGCCTCTCTTTTCACGTTAATTACGTAAATCTCGTGGCTGTTCTCATTCCGTGTGGATTTATGTCGTAACCGCGAAAACAACTCACGTCTGTGTGACGTGTCTTTTTTGTTGTCACAGGGCTTATCTGTCTTCATGTTTGCGTAAGAAATTTATAAAATAAAACAGTGATAATCTGTTTATTGCCTCTGTAAAACGTCTGTCAGCGCGCGTCACGCCTTCCTTAGGCAACCTCACGGAAGGAACTGCTGTGACTTCAGCGGGGTCTGAACTGTAGCGATTTGGTTTGTGTCGTGTTATAAAAATGTAACCCAGGAATTTTTACAAAATACCCTCTGCGCTGTCGCACTTTCAAACGATTTAGTATCAAAGTCCATGATGTGCAAAAATTTAATATCGCAGTGTTGGAGCGGGCGAAGACGTTTACTGCTTTAGACCGCGAGGCCGGCCACTGTGATCGGCTGTTCCAGTGAATTTCTGTTGATCATGCGCAGAACTACGTCGCGGCCTCATGACCCTCATGACCAAGCCACACATGAAGATGTTTTAGTTGCACATCAGAACTTGAGCTCTTAGGATGGGAGACCGTGTTTCGCCTGCGCGTCAGATGAACCCACTGCCTCCATTTGCAAATTATGACGTAAGTTCTTGTCTGTCAGCCAGTCACCGTGACCGCAAGATGTAAGATGCTCACTGTGTTTGTGTTTCGTTTCACGGCGCTGTCAACAGTTGAGAACTTTCTCAGCGGAATGGCAGAATGTTCAGCGAGTAACGAACCAGAGGGAATGCAGAAGCGGTTGCGGCCTCGTTACAGTTGACAGGATTGACTGAAGAAGATTCCGAAAGTCGTCGATCAGGCCGGAGTAAACCCTCGCTAATCCGGTTACAGTTAATCCGGATCGAAATATGAAAAGTTCTCTTCACAGTTGAGTTCATACTTTAAAAAGACACATGGCATTTAGGAAGGCAGATGAGTCACTTGTCTGTTGAGACAGAACTTGAGACGGTTTCTTCAAACCTGCATCATTACGTTCAGAAACAAGTGCAACTTCTGAGTCTTCTCTCGATGAATAAATGTACTGTCTTTTTGTAGTTTTTAAATAAAGGCTCTACAGTGATATTTTGTTATTTATTTCCATCGGCACTGCTTACGTCATTAGATTTTGTATTTATTTTTCTTCTACGTTTATTTTGTCGTTTATCGCTACATTTTGCGTCACTAATCCGGATTATCGCTTAATCTGGATGACCTCTCCCCCAAGATTACTCCTTAGTAGCGAGGGTTTACTGTATTTTCTGTCCGAGCTGAGATTCGAACCTGATATCTCCTGAATACGGAACAGGAATTGAACCCACTGACTCACACGTTCGGTGTACAGTATAAAGGTTCTTAGTTTATGATTTTCGTCCTCTCTTTTAGTTTCCAAATATTTTTTCTGAGCTCTTCTCTTCACTCTGGTTAAGTCTTCTTTTTACTGTGAAGAAGGAGGCAGCAAGTTATGTGAAAGTTTGATAATTCTTACCACAGACGGACGAAAGCACCTGACCGTCACTCTCGTCGTTCATCCTGTGTCATATAAACCGAACATGAATTAAAATTAATTCATAAAGTCTTCAGGAATGTAAGGTAATGGAGATTAAAAGCGACTTTCCCCCGCTTTACCCTACAAACTGTTATCATTGCGATGAATTCTTAGCAACTGCACGTCAGAAATACTTCGTGACAATAAAAATAGACAGACATCTGTTTTGTGAGTCAGGACAGTTGACAAACGCGAGGCATTGACTGACTGCTCACTGACACTTGGTGAGTGCAGCTGCATGGGGGTGGTGTCTCACATGTTGTGACGTCAGTTGGTGTCTCTGTCTCAAGACATGTGAAGACGACCCGTGCCAAATTGAATTTACCGCAGCAAATGTTTACAGTAATGTCAAGATCCAAAATATAATACTCATATAAAGAGAGTACTTAAATAATAATTCAATTCAATTCAATTCAATTCTTTATTATTAATNCATGTCTCCGGGTTTCTTCGGGTTTCCCTATGCCCATCTATCACCGCCCCCTGAGGTGTGTGATCACTAGGACCCGGATTTTGATGACCTGGAAATATTTAAAAAATGACCGAAAAAATAACCGAAAAAATCCAGAAAAACTACCTAAAATATGACTCAAAAATGTATTATGCAGGGCCCGGATTTTGATGGCCTGAAAATATTAAAAAAAAATTACCGAAAAAATCCAGAAAAATGACCTAAAGGAGAAGAGAAAGAACACTTCGCTTCCATGTTATTCACATTTCGGAAAACATATGAAGAAAAATTCCCTAAAATGGCCAAAAATGACAATAAATACACTTAAAAGTCCAAAAAATAACCAAAAAATTACCACAAAAATGAAACAATGACCTTAAACCTAAAAATGTCAAAAATGACAAAATTTACATTTCTGTAACCAGCAGCTCATATCCGAGATTTACCGTATTTACGCATGTATAGGCCGCACATTTTTTGCCAAAAATTCAAGAGGAAAACTGGGGTGCGGCTTATATTCGAAATATTCGAAATCACACTTCATTTACAAAAAAATATATTCATAATTAGTAATACAGGGTGTTCAAAGATCGAGGAATTATTTTTTCTATAATTTCTGTCTGAAAATTGTGCTGCGGCCTATACACGCACGCGGCTTATACATGCGTAAATACGGTATATATTTAAGAGCATCGCATAGGATACAAGGAAAAAAAGATGACATGTCATCAAAATCCGGGCCCTGGTGATCACCCTGACCACGCAGCACATTATCACATCCTCGGGCTTTAAGTTGGGCGTGTCTTAGCTGCCGCGGCACTTGTCTGCTTACTGAGAAAGAAGTAGATTTTAAGCCACGTTTTTAATGCCGCGCAATTCGTCTCGAATTGTCGGCACTGCCTTGGTCTACAAGAGGGTGTAGAAGTGTTATAGTTCGCTCCGCCTTACCCTTCATAAATTTCTGAACATTTGAAGACAGGAAACAATTTTACCGACCGAGACATCTGCTAGGCTATATCCAGTGGTTCTGTCTCCGCTGTCGTTTTGTAGCGTGGAACATGTTGCACACATCCCTGTGTTTGTTTTATTATTTCTGTGTAGCGTCTTGAGAGGGGGCACAGCCCCCCAGAGTCAGCCTTCCCTCATGCAGTGTACTGGCCCACATGCCCGTCGTCGCTTCCCATATCACGTGACGGCAAGAGGTAAATCTGAACGGAAGATTGTCGGGCGAATGCGGGTAGAAGTGCAGTGACTATGAACATTCATGTCTTCTTCGATGTGACGTGTCTCCCAGTCTACGTGGAGCCGTTACCGGAAGACAGTAATTTCTACCCTGAAGTTGGAGGCAACCTATTCTCTCGAAACGAAATGATAGGTTCTAGCAGTTTGGCTGATTAACTAGCGCCACGGAGCCGACTCGTTCTTCAAAAAGTAAGAACCACTCACGAAATTCTGAATCTTGCGTAGAACCCGAAGGTTCACTGTCGTCTTTACCTGGGCCCTCCACTGGTTCCTATCCTGAGCCAGTTGAAACCAGCGCACATAATTTGTTTGAGACCCATTTTAATATCCTCCCGTCTACACCCAGGTTGTCGTAAAGGTATCTTCCTTTCAGGTTTTTATACCAATGCGTGCTAAATTCCCTGCCTACTTCGTCGCCTTTGAATTGGTCATCGTTAACATCATCTGGTGAAGAGCACAAATTACGAAGATGCTCATTGCTTCATCCCTCTGAGGTCGCAGTATGTTCCTCCCTCCGTGTCAGTTTGTCACAACCTAAACTCCCAGTAACTGTCCGCTCCCTCGGCGCCTACTGCATAGCGGAAGCAGGGCAGACGGGCAGCTGCTGGAAACAGCCAACCCCGTGAACACAGGCTGGCGTAGCTACTGTCAGCGTCACAAAGTGACACACACAGCCTGCCCTATTGCGCCACCCCCCACTTGAGCCGTCGAGGTCAAGCGGGTAGCACTCAGTCGTCATTCTAGTTTAGTAGCACAACCGCGGTAGCTCAGTCGGTATAGCGACTGGCTACGGGCTGGACGGCCGGGGTTTTGATACCCATCAAGGGCAACGTATTTTCGAAATTTGCCGAGACTGACTGAGGAAAACGATGCAATAACCTCAGTTCGGATAGCCGGTGTTCCACTCGAGATTCGAACCAAGCATATCTACAAGTAGATGAATATGCTGCCCACACCTGTCGAACGTTAGGGGCACGCTGTAGCGTAGTTGGTTGAGGCGCTATGCTACAAGCCGGAAGGTCGCGGGTTCGATTCCCGATGAGGTAATTGGATTTTTTCAATTTACCTAATCCTTCCAGCCACACTATGGCCCTGGGGTCGACTCAACCTCTAACAGAAATGGGTACCAGGAATCTTCCTGGGGGGGAAGGACGGCTGGCGCGTAAGGCTGACAGTCTCACCACCATCTGTGAGCCTGCTGTCTAGAAAATGTGGGAGCCTCAACGTCCCACAACCCTATGGGCCTCCACAGTCTGTTACAGGGATAGCTTTACCTTTTTACCTTCACACCTGCCGAGCACGGGAACGACTGGTACGGATGTAGGGGGGTATAGGAGGGGGAAGCTTTGTTTAGCATCGCTGTCAGCAACGCAAACTGCACAGCGTCGCATGATTGGACGCCCAGGGAATAATGGCTTCGAAGGGGTGTGTACGGACGCCGTCCTGGCACGGTTTGAGGTACTCTTCACGCTTCTGCCTCGAGAAACCTGTCAGGATAATGGATGGCCAGGGCGAGATTCGAACCTGGCACCGCACGAATAGAAGCAAGAAGCGTTACCACCTGAGCCACTGTGCTCGGTTAGTAGGATGGAAAACAGGTGGGCCAGAGGGGACGCGGAGGAGTAGAAGTGAAGTAAAATGGATACATAAAGCGAAATAGGATTTGAGATTCTCACAGTCGATGACTGAAGAATTCTACCTGGATTTCCGGATATTATACCATGTAGTCCGGTAGTTCATCGACGTTTCGGAGGAACGTATTGCCTCAATATTGAGGTCGAAAAGTAAACGAAACAAGTAATCATCCAGAAGCAAACAATAGGTAATCTTCAACAACCCTGAAGATGGAAGTATACCTTCCTCCGATACGTCACCGAACTTGTGACGGACAGAGGTACATTAACCACTGTTTTAGAACCACTGTTATCTCGCGTTTGTTAATAACATATTCCGGGGAGTCGCCGTGTTGACTGTCTTACAGGCGGAAGGAATTTAACGCTGAACACCTGTGCAAACAAACACTGCAACACATACTTGACACCGCTGGAGGTTATGACTTAAGTGGCAGAGAATAATTTACTTGCGAAATTATTTTCGTCGTTAATAGAACGAGACACGGGTACCAATGTATACAGATCCGACTCTTTCGCTCGAGATGTGCGCTGAGGCCCATGTAAAGCGTCCGGTTTTAATCGCTACTGTCTCCCGTCAGCGAACTGCAATAGAACTCACAATTATCAAGTTCCTAAACGTCCGTTGAGTGGGTCTCGAGTCGTCACATGCGGCCAGAGGCCGCGCCATAGCTCAGGCGGTTAGTCTCCGGCTTCCTACAGCGGCGGCCCGGGTTCGAGCCCGGATCAGGTCATGTGGAACCTGTGGTGGACAAAGTGACACTGGGGCGGGTTTTCTCTGAGTACTTCGGTTTCCCCTGCCAATCTTCAGTCCACCAATTGCTCCACAATCACCATCATCTGTCGTCTGGGGCTGGTACAATAGTCCAGTAGTGGCCGCAGAACCAAGTGAACTCAGTCTCGCCCCACCCCAAGAACAAAATGCATGCGGCCGTGCAGACGGAGCATAGACAGATGAATTTCTTGCAACGTTTCCTTTAGAACGC